TTGATTCTGAAGAAGGTAAGCTATGTATGGAGTGGAGTAATCAAATCCTTTCTTTATTAAAATTCATCAATTTCAATTCATTTATTGTCCTCTCTTTCTCTCCATTGATATATAGTTATACTATTTGTAAGCTCATTCACCATTTTTTTTCAATTTTTTTCATTTTTACATCCATTTGATTGACTGTCAGCCATCCTCTTACATTTAATAAACTCAGCAATGACAAATGTTATACTAAATCATTATCTTTGCAGGTCCCATAATCGGAAGTGTTCTTCTTAAATCTACAGTAGGCATTGCAAGACTGCATACTCCCAGGAGTTTAGAGGTAGATCTAATAATCTGAAATATGAAGTTGAACATAAGTGGTCTTGATGCTAAGTGTCTTTTTTTCCAGGCTTTGACTCTATCTGGTGTTGTTGGTCAACGGATAAGCAGAGCTTTCCCTCTAAGGAATGCAGGGAACATCAGTCTACAAGTTGATCTTAAAGTGTTAATAGATGCTGACTACTTCATTGTTTCTCCAAATAGAACAGTTCTGCGACCTCAACAGGTGCAAAATTAGCAACAATTGAGTGATGTAGAAAATACAAAATGTAGCCGAAGCCGCTAAGTGTGTAGATCGAGTTTACAACAAAAATATGATTCAACGTTTAGCAACAATTCTTTTGTCATTTCATTTTTAAAATCATTATTTTATATTGTTGTTTATATTATTAAATGTCCACAAATCCATTGTAAGCAAAGTTGCTTTCTTGGTATTTACAGAAGCCCTACTAATCATCATCCTACTATTCCATGCTAATTTTTTCAAGTAATGTTATTATATTCAACTCATGTTCATATGTGTTATTTATCTCTAGGAAGAAGAAATCACAGTTCAGTTCAAACCGACCAAAGCTGACTGTGTGATTGACAGGTAATAAATATGTGTCATGATAAATCAATTTATCATATAATTATCTATGAAATACCTATATTTCTCCATTTCGTAAAGTTGATATG